CACTCGCGCTATGTCGTCCTTTCGGCCCACTTCCCCTTTCATGCTGTACGTTCCGATCGAGTGGGGGAAACAAATTTTAAATTCACGTCTATGTTGTGTCGTTGTCATCGTCCTATATTACGTGCTGTAATACGGTTCATCTGTACGTTGTCTTACTTTCTGACTACTATATACATATCTTGTAAGATATTGATTATTTATATCGATAACAAACTTGCAGGACGCTGGGTAGTAAACTACGACGAAAATCATGTTTATAAAAATAATGACAAACAGGGAGCTGCGCGACAAGGCACGCCGAGTTATTGTGTTCGAGCTAAGGGTAAGTACACATACTTAAAATGTTTTTAAAGTCGATCTCCTTAAAGATAAGGTGTTATTTCGAAGAATATTGTTGTTTAGTTTGAATTTATTCTTGAACGAAGAATCTGTAATGTACGAATCTGCACGTATCATGCTATTGTGAGTTTATAGTGTTTCACCATTAATATTGTAGTATAACTAAGAGTGACAGAGTTACAAAATGGCGGAATATTATTGAAAATTTTTCTATGAAGCTCGATATATGTAACTTCTACTGAAAGTATTTTTTTTTAATTATTAAATGATTGCATTTCTATCGTTATAGTCTACTCGTACACGTGTTTTCTATGTACGTCGTAATATAACCTTATCTCGATCATTACTACAATTAGACTTCTTAATTTTCTGTTGTATGTATTGCATCACAGTCATTAAATCTTTTACTTTTTATGTATGTAAGAAAGATGCTTACGCTATTATAATCGTGGCACAAATCTATTTCAATACATATGTACATACAGATTACACAGATACATAATAAATGCAGATTATAGAGTCAATTACTACTTTGCTCGCGTCTAAACTATAATCAACATATATAGCACAAAGATGGATTCCAGAGAATTGATCGATTTTCGTTATAAATATCAGACCGAATTTTGCAAACGTAATAAGTATAACATGGAAACCAGTTATTAATTTCGAGATACATCATACTAGCACGGTAGCTATGCAAATAAAGCTTGGACGAATTTGTTACCATACCAGAAACGTTGTCGTACGCTGTCGGCGTAAGGTGTAAGGTGTAAGGTGCAACATTTTAGCGTGGTTCCTTACTTGCGGTTCGCACCATTATCCCGGCTCGTTTACAAAAAAATGCAGCGTCTGGTAAGCTTCTCGTTTCTTAACGGAGAGATAGAGGAACGGATATACCGCAGCCTCGACCCTCCGTAAACACGGATTAAGGGAAATGTTCCGGTGTAACCTTACTAATGGCCGTGAAAAAACAAATCTATTTGACGTAGAGCTTCTGTTAATTGTCAACGTGGCCGCAGAATTTTCGTTATTCCCTGTGTAAATAATTTCAGCCGCGAATTATCTGCACGTTTTGTTTTCCCGCCAACGTTAGCTGCTGGACGTTGCTCCAGCCTGTTACTGCTCCGCATGTTATTGCTTCACCTGTCTTCGATGTTTCTTTGCGCCCGCGCACAATTTTCATCGCGAAAGAAATGGAAATCAAGCCAGCCTCTATATTTCCGTCTGCTCCACTGATATTCCTTGTTTTCACTGATCTCGACCTACTTATTCCCAACAGTCATTGCTTGGAAAACAAATCGTTCCAATTTAAAGTAAATTTAACGTTTATGCCTCCTTACGAAATGATGTACATAGCACGCTTGGTACTTTTTAGTGGACACGTTATTTGAACACTACTGTCCAGACTGAGCAATCGCAGATCAGGTCTCGTTTTCTTTTCTCCGAATAAAACACGAGTTGTAAAAGTCAAGCTACGTGGTCGTGTTTTATGATCGTGGATTATAATTTGGTGAATCATAAAGCATGCGTGATAAAACGAGATTGAAGGATATGGCAATACCAAAAGTTACGTTCTGATGTCGCATGTACTTAAGAAAATATCTAAATGTTTTCTATTTAGAAATTGCGAGTATAACAAGATCGGAACGTTAGACCGCATAATGCGTGTAGATTATAGATTAAACGTAAAACATGCTCCGTCGACTAAGTATGCTCTTTCAATATTCGCAAGATCGTTCATTAAACATCCGAGCAAGCAGCATATTTTATCGGATACAAATGGCTGGGGGAGAAAGCAACCGCGTGTACGTCAAAGTAAAATAAATTACAAATTTACTATTGAGAAATGATAATAAAAAGGATAGAGGAAGGAACTTTCGATTCGTCTCTCGTACATTCACTAGGTTCGCTGCAGCCTCTTTTAATTTTTCTTCACCAAGAAATGTTAAACTTGGTCGGAAGATACGCGCGTACGAAAATTTATTTCAACGAACAAGCTTGCGCCGCGCCGTGATTTTGAAGGAAAAAGAAATAACAATCGGAAGTAGGCAGTTCTATTTTTAATATGATTGACAAGACACGCCGATAGAGAGGCAGGAGTTGACGATGGTTAAGCACATTAGCCGGGAAAATTACGATCGACGAACAGTTAGGAGCATAACGAGCGTAGAAAAGCGGTGCTGTAAATCGTTGAAATGGCGCCACAGGGATCGTCTCTTTTTGCCGTGGTCGGTTGTTCCCCGGACTTTTTGTAAAATACACGTAGGTCACTTTGGTGCGCGTAGATGGCACTTCGAATTTCGAGAGTAACCGCCAACGGATTTACAAAGTGAGGAAAAGGGACAACGCCATTTGTCTCGCTCACCTAATTAACTGCAGCCGCGGATTCAAACAAAGCCGCTCGATTTAATAACAATTTTGCTGGCGATGTTAACGAGATCCCATTGGATCATTAATTCCAGGCCCCCCCTTCCTAACGTGTCGTGACTATTCGGACCGAGCTTCTTTGCTTCGTGTTTTGTAACCGATACATCCGTCGATATTTTTAGTAGAGAACGCGAGAAAGCTCGGCGAATCAGTTTGATACGAAACAGCGAGATGGTTGAACGGCATGCATAGCGGCAATTCGTATCTACGGATCCAAATTCTCGATAGATCCGCAAATAGTTGCCAACGGATTCTCTCTGCGAGTGATTTGCAACCGCACGTTCCAATAACTTATGTCAAGTAATTACATTGTTGCGATTACAAATAATTGCGTTGTCTAGTTCAAGTAGAAATCCATTTGAGTTAGATTCATTTTACGTCCCTTGCACAGGGATAATCAACGGTTCCGGGTAAGCTGGATAAAACGCTCGTAAAGTCTTGGTCTTTATCCGAGAAAATTAAGTGTTGCCGCGTGCTCGCCTACGCGACCATGCTTATTTATTTATCGGGACGAAAATAAAGAACAACGATTGATTATGTTTAGAAGAAACGGCTAGTAGAGCTTTATTTAGCATAATTCATTTTTATAAGATATACATTCTTACTGGATGATGTTCACACAGATATGTTTGCATTAGTATGTAAATTAAAGCTTTTATAAATAACTCGTCTTTGTGATTCATTGTTTAATCCATAAAAAATATTAATCGTGGATATTTACTTCGTGTTGCGCAACATCTTGATAATTGCGATAAAGGCACATCTTTTTAATTAATTCTCGAACGTTAGATATACCTGGCCGAGGGAGATGCTTAAAGAATTTTTAACAGCATCGGATAAACTCCACGTTCCTCGCTATTTACTCGGTCGCGTTTTAGTCTTTCCAAGTACGGTAATAAATCTCCTCAAGGCAGTATACTCCCGCTATATGTACTTTCTTTCCTTTTGCCGAGATTCTCTGAGGGCTCGGATTTAATTAAAATATTCTATGCGCTTCTTATACCGACATGGAGTAGGCGAGCATCGTATTCTTCCAAATATAATATTCATTTTGCGTCAGATAAAAAAGAAAGGAAATTACCCCGCTGTATCACCAGCATTCCATTCTAACGTATAAGTGAATCACGATATTGAATTAATGCAGATTAATATCATGTATATGGAAAGGAGCGAGAAAGAGGAAGTAAGAAGTGGATGACCTTTTTAAAATTACCGGAATATAATGCAACATTGCTCGATATATTCATGAAGAAATCGGAGCTTCGAAGATAGCGTGCGTGTTTTCTTTGGCTTGTGCTTTGGCATATTCAGATGATCTCAACTTTTGTTTCCTCGTTCATAGTTTGGCAGAATGTACGATTTTCCGCAGATTAAATATAACGTTTACTATGCGAAATTATTAGACATCAAAATTAAATTTATTCGGAGCAATTGCCAAAACTGCAATGGGGAGGGAGGAGAAACGAAAGAAAACGAAAAAGAGGAAAAGAATGAAGAAATAGAATTGTCGAAAGAGGAGAGGAAAAAAGGGAGGGGAAAATGAAGGAGAATAGAAGCTGAGGGAAGAAAGGGTAGATATATGGTGGAATGGGGAGTGAAAAAAGAATGAAACGAAAGAGAAGCTGTTACCTTTGCTTACTTTAACCTAATACCTGGCTCACATGAAATTTGTATATCCTACCTCATCATTACTCAATTCTAAACTTGTTTTATCGTAACTTAATCACGATATTTCACTGTAAATAAACTAATTTTTAGATATTTTTAATTATTGAAACTATTTTAACTAATTACACCACTATACTCAGATATATTTGCTATGGAAGATGTAGAACTGCGATTTCCACAGAATTAACAGACCTAAATAATTGGAATTTTACATAATCTACAATATTTCTAGGGTTTATCGATTTTTCCTCGTAATATTTTCCACATATCAGTTCGTTGACAGAAAATTCATACATTCGTTTCGTGGAAAACGTATAATCCTCGTTCTGTATTTTGCATACGGATATTGGCACTATGCTCACGGATATTATCAAAATTGGTAATCAAAGTAAAAAATACACAACGAGAGAAGAGAGAGAGAGAGAGAGAACGGGAGAATTCTATATACGAAGCATCAAGCCGAGTAAATGGTCAGTGTAGTGAATAGATCAGAATGGAAATTCAAATATGTATCGCGATTCGACGTCATATAATGGCGACCGAGCCAAAACGCATGAAATGGCAGGATGATGCTCGCACATACTTGAACACGCACACATAATACACGTACATATTTATTTCTAGAAAAACGTCACGACCGCAAGATTCCGTCACGAAATTTCTGGCGTGGATTCAACGATATCTTTTTGGCTCCGAATCGACATATTCGACCAACCGCTCTATAGATAAAATAGCGTTTCATTCATCGTGGATCATTTTGTTAAGCCCACGTGGCTTATGCCGGGCATTCACGTGAATCGGCAAGCATGGAACGTTGCGAAAATCCATTGGAATATCGTGCGCCCACCGAAAAGGGCTTACCGGACTATTACCAGAAATTTTCGCTGA